TTTAGAACGATAAGCATGGGAAATATAACATATTGATTGGGTAGTTAGATAAATGAATAATGATATAAATCTACAAGCATAACTAAAAGATATTTAGATAGAATCTAATATTAAAATATAGTTGACCTCATCTAGAAGAATAATTCTTGGCATTTTGAGGATAGTCCGTGCGATGGCAACACGTTGCTTCTCGCCTCCACTCAATTTGAGCCCACGTTCGCCTACTATTGTTTCGTAGCCCTGTGGAAACTCTAAACAAAGGTTATGAATATCTGCCGATCTAGCCGCTGCCTCTACTTCATAGTCCGTCGCAGAATGACGTCCATATTGAATATTGTAACGAATGGTATCATTGAAAAGAACGGTGTCCTAAAAGCAATTGTTAACATATATAAAATTGAAAAAAGTGAGATCATAAATAAAAGCGAATTACACAACCCTCTATTTCATCTATTTTTAAGCAGGTAGCTTCTCATTTTCTTATTAAACAATAAGTGCATAGAATGCTTTAAGGAGAAACAAGGAGATTTCCAAAAGTCACCCATGAACACAGTTGAAAAGAGGGCATATGGGTCATTTTATACAGACGATATCGGCACTCAATTTTTCAATAGTAATCATCCGAAAAAAATCATTTTAGAACCAGAAAAGGTTGAAAGAAATTGACCCTGAACAAAAGTTAAGACTATAGCACTAATAATTTTAATGTAACTACATTAAAATTTTTGTGCATCTTTAGGTTATAGTTCCTCAATAAAAGATGATAATTTTTTTAAATAATCACCATCAGTCATGAATATTCAATCTAGGATTTTTGGCAAACAGGGATGGCCATAAGTAATTGAATATTCATTAATCAATATTTCGTGAAAATAGAGATTATTAGTTAATTAATTCCAAAATAATTTAATATATAAAGTTAGCAAAAAAAACTATTCGAAAATGAATAGATTTTCAAAAAAAAAGAAATTAAACTTAGATTCGAGTTTACGACTATAATTTGATCTTGAATTCCTTAACTAAAGAATTGCATGCATAGATTCACTCCCATATAAGCACTCAATTTGAATTTGCACATAAGAGAGAAATTATCTGTTTATTCTCAACAATGCTGCTTCATGATTAATGCTGCTTGCT